ATTTATTTGCTTCGGAGTTCTTATTAACAGGTTGAAGGTGGAGGAGGACAGGGAGGAGAGGAAAGGAAGGGGAAAATGACCTCACTGTTTATGAAGTGTCCTCTGTGTGCTTGACATAGTGCTAGACATTTATATATGTCATCTAAGAGGGGAAACTAAGGCTTAGAGCATTTAGTAATCTATCCAAGATCACTCAGCTGATGTTGAGTGGTGAAGTCAGGATTTGAGTCTAATTATTTCTTCTTCCAAAACTCGTGCTGAGGTCAGGTGTGGTGGCTCATGCCTGTAATCCCAGCACTTTGGGAGGCCAAGGCAGGTGGATTACTTGATGCCAAAAGTTCAAAGCCAGTCTGGTCAACATGGCAAAACTCCGTGTCTACTAAAAATTCAGAAATTGGTTGGGTATGGTGGTATGTGCCTATAGCCCCAGCTACATGGGGGACTAAGGCCCAAAAATCGCTTGATCCCAGGAGGTAGAGGTTGGCAGTGAGTTGAAATTGCACCACTGCACTTTAGCCTGGGTGACAGAGCAAGACTCTTTCTTAAAAAAACAAAAAACAAACAAAAAAAACTGATACTGAGTTTTAAGTATTTGCTGGAAAACTGGTTCTGTTATAGTATTTGGAGGCGGCTGAAGGAAGGCATTTCACAGTTGTTCTTAATATTTCTGGGTCATGGAAGAATCTCTCCCATAAAAGTGTACATGTGCAAATATATACATCATTATGAGTTTTGCATACCGTTTCAGAAGGATTGGCTAAGGAACCACAGAACCAAACGCAAGAACCTCAAGATTACAGTATTCCCAACCACCTTCTCCCATTCCACTCCACCCTAAACCTCTTCCCAAAGCCTGAGAGTAATTAAAACCAAAGAAAATATAAACACGAAGTTTGGTTGGGAGAAGCAAATGCAAACTTCTTATATAGTATTGTACTCGAAAATGTCATGGAGAACTTGATTAGGAGACACTGAAGAATGTAGTGACAATCTTTAAATTTCAGTTATGACCTTCAGACCATATATGATGTAAGGTTAAGAGACAGGGTTATCACAATACATTCTAAGAGAGTGAAAATAGCTGAAAATCAAACTGAATGGAAAATCCCAGGAAGTATACTATATTTAATGGAAGAGAGGTTTATTTCTGTTATTCTGTCTGGGGAACTTTTCTTGAAAAATATGTTTGGATTTTATGGGCTAAAGAAAATGTTTTAAATGAGGTTTATGTGATTTTTTTTATACCCTGTATTTTTTCCAAGAGGATTTAAAAGAGATTATAGGTTTATAGAAAATACAACAAAATATTATGAGTCACACATAGGAAAAAAAGGTAGAGACATAAAATAGAGCCAGGAATGAAGCTGACATTAAACCATGAATTTATATAGTGATTAGGCCTTTACTTCCTCAAGGTAATTTCTTTTTTTTCTTTTTAATTTTCTGTAGGGACAGGATCTCACCATGTTATCCATGTTGGTCTTGAACTCCTAGGCTCAAGGGATCCTCCAGCCTTTGCCTCCCAAAGTGATGGAATTACCTGCGTGAGCCGCTGCACTCAGCCTCTCAAGGTAATTTCTAAATATTATGCAGCACTGAAAGTTTTATGTATTAGATATATATTTTCCATAATTTACACAATATTTTCACATACATTATTTGATCCTAAAAGGACTTTGTGAGGCAGTTATTATCCACATTTTCCATAAAAAAAAACTGAAACTCAGAAAAGAACTTGAAAAATCCTGTCCTTCATGGTGGAGAATTGCTTGAGGCCAGTAGTTCAAGACCAGCCTGGGTAAAACAGGGAGTTTCTATCTCTCCAAATAATAATAATAAATAATCTGGGCATGGTGGCACGTGCCTGTGGTCCCAGCTACTCGGGAGGCTGAGGCAGGACAATCACTGGAGCCCAGGAGGTCAAGACCGGCAGTAAGCCGTGATCAGGTCACTGTACTCCAGCCTAGATGACAGAGCAAGACCTCGTCTCAATCAATCAATCAATCAGAACAATAGGCATTTGACATCTATGGTCCTGGCATTTTCACAAGAGAAGGATTACGACCTTCTTTACAGATGGCATTACATTTGGAGGCTGGCTAAACATAAAATTAAAGGACTTCATGCTTGGAATGCCCTTTTAAGAAATACGTAACTCATTTACTTTATAGACGAGCATACTAAAGCCTTCAGATTTTTAAAAATAATTATTTCTCTTAATAATTATTTTATTTATTAAGACACAGAGTCTCAATCTACAGCCCAAACTGGAGTCTAGTGGCACCATCCTAGCTCACTGAAGCCTCTAAATCCTTGGCTCAAGGTAGCCTCCCTCTTCAGCCTCCCAAGTAGCTGGAACTGCAGGCACAAGCCATCGCAACCTGCACTCTGAAGCTTTAAGAGGCCAAATGATTCCTCACATTCATTCGATCAATTACAGGTAGAGCCAAGACCAAAAGCCAGGTTTCCTAAGTTATTTTCTTTATAACACATTGCCTCTATAGCTTTATATCCATGTATATGATTTTTGTTACATATCCAGTTCTGATTTTTGTTACATATCCAGTTCTCATCCTTTTTCCTGTCACAATTCCCCTTGTGTCTACTGGGTAAAGTTTTAAATGCAGGTTGACATAGCATACAAGGCCCTGCATAACCTGGCATAAGAGATCTCTCCAGGTACTCTCCTACTCTAATAATACAGGAATACTCCTGACTCCTAGGAGGCTAGACGTTTGTGTAACATCCTGATAGAGATGTCCTGTTTAGGCTGTGTTGCTGAAGGAAGGCCACATCCCTCTATCCTGTGAAAGTGAGTACTTGAGTTCCTCCTCTATCACCCCAGAAGATTAGGTGAAGGCACTCAAGTGGGAGGGACAAAATGATGTCTAAAACCTGGAGGCCTTGGGCAGGGACCTCCCCTTCCTTAAACTCAAGGTAAATGAGCCAAATTTTGCGATTCCAGGTAACTTTTCATGTCAAATTCTTCTGTGCCATCCCTAACCCTTTAGTAAAATCCCCTCCAAATATTTCAGAAAAACTTTGTGAGTTCATATTTGGCAAGGCCATCCAAAGCATGTAGCAACCCTCCATATCTAGCCAGCATGATGGTGTCGGTACTAATTACAACACGATAGATTCCAAAGAGGAGAGGAGAGTATCACACAACAGGAACCAGGGCCACTAAATCCCAATCACTTTTCCCCAGCAATGATTCTCCTTCTATATGGGGTTATAGGTTATGAGGATATGGGTTAGTCAATTAGATTCCTTATGCAATTTCAAATTCCCTGAGCAGATCCAGGAATTTTGCACATTCTGTTCCTTGTCCATAAACCTTGGTTCCCTTCCCCAAACTGTTGTTCTTTTGACAAAGTCTTTTTTTTTTTCTTTTGAGATGGAGTCTCGCTCTGTCGCCCAGGCTGGAGTGCAGTGGCGCAATCTCAGCTTACTGCAACCTCCACCTCCCAGGTTCAAGCAATTCTCTGCCTCGGCCTCCCGAGTAGCTAGGATTACAGGCACCCACCACCATGCCTGGCTAATTTTTTTTGTATTTTTTGTAGAGACGGGGTTTCATCATCTTGGTCAGGCTGGTCTTGAACTCCTGACCTTGTGATCCACCTGCCCCGGCCTCCCAAAGTGCTGGGATTCTTTTGATAAACTCTTACTCATCATTCATATTCCTGGCTCAGACATCATCATCTCTAGGTAACCTTTCCTGACACTTAGACTAAGTATTCTCTACCTCCTCTTCCATAACCTGTGCTCCTTTTGAACAGAGTGATGATATTTTGGGCTTGATAATTAAAAAAGAAAAGTAGAAAAACAGAACATAGAACATATAGGGCCTCTAGTTGCTATGCCTGGCAGTGCATGAAACATAGTATTCAATAACTATTATTTAAATGCATAGTCATTTTGTTTTTTTCCTTTAACAGTATTTCTTAATAGGTAACTCAAGAACACTCCAAAAAAATGTCAAATTGCACAAAAAATTTCAGGGAAAAGTACATTTTCCCCCCAATCCCATTTCCTCCTTTCTCTTAATACCAGTTACCCTTCCTTTCAGATTGATTATGCATATACGGGTATGTAAATGTTTTCCCACTATTTGTTATACATGATAAAAATTATATAGGATTCATATATTAAATGTTGCATATGTTATATTACACGTAAAAAACATGTTATATAACATGTAAAAATATGTTTTATATATATATATATGTACATGTACAGATTGTCTCCTTTTTGCATAACCAAAGTCAAGTTTTTTTTTTTTAAGAGCAACCCTCAGAACCAGGACAGGTCCAGAGGCTTTATTTATATTTATTTTTATTTTTATTTATTTTGAAACGGAGTCTCACTCTTTCACCCAGGCTGGAGTGCAGTGGTGCAATCTCGGGCCCCTACAACCTCCACCTCCCAGGTTCAAGTGATTCTCCTGCTTCAGCTTCCTGAGTAGCTGGGAATACAGGCGAGCGCCACCACGCCCGGCTAATTTTTGTATTTTTAATAGAGACGGGGTTTCGCCATGTTGGCCAGGCTGGTCTTGAACTCCTGACCTCAGGTGAGAGCAGCATAGTATTTCACTGTATGGGCATACCATAATTTACTTCGCACTCCCGGATTTAAGGTTTCCAATTTATAAATACTGCCATTTTCACCGTCAAGCCCCGATGCCAAACACAGAAATACCGCCCCCCCAACCCCCTCGCCGCGTGCTTTCCACATTTTCACACAAATTTTTAGGAGCCCAGGGCGGGGCCCTGCACCGAACGCTGCCTCTGCCTTTCCCCCACGAGCCCCGCGCCCCCACCACAGGGTGGAAGGCGACGGAACCGAGTCCTTCGCACCCCCACCTGCCCGGTTCCCCAGCGTCTCCCGGCGGCCGGGCTCCCCTGCTCAAACGTGGCGGAACGACCAGACCCCGGCCTCGCCCCGCTAGGAACAGGGCTGATTGGGCCCTGCCAGCTCTGCGCGGGGCGGGACTTCGACGGGGCGGGGCGGGACTCCGGCCCGCGAGGCGCGGCCAGCGTGCGGGGCTCCTCCCCTTTCCTCCGGCGGCGCCGGCGGCCGCAGCACTTCCGGGTCGGCGTGGAGGCGGGGCGGAGGCGCCGCGGAGGCTGTTATTGTTCGCCTGGGCTCGGTCGGGCGCTGTCTCTCATAGCTCGGCGGGTGTCAGTTTGTCCGGCTTCCTCACAGCCCCTTACTCCCGGCCGCTGACAGCAGTAGCAGCGGCGGCGGCGGCGGGCGGGGCCTGGCGTTTCGAGGCTGAGCGGCGCCGGGGTGAGGGGCGCGGAGGAGGAGCAGTAGCGGGAGGAGGAGCCGTGTGCCCTGGCACTGAGCGGCCGCGGCCATGGCGTACGCCTATCTTTTCAAGTACATCATCATCGGCGACACAGGTGAGGGCCCCGGGCGCGGCCGTGCGGGTGTCGGCGGTCTCCGCGCCGGGGCTGAGGGGCAAACGGCGTCTGGCGGTGGCGGGGACGCGGACCCCACCCGGCGCCTCCCTCCCGGCCGCGCCGCTCCATTTCCGCAGTGCTGGAGCTGGTGACGTGGGCACTGCGAGCGGCCGCGGCCTGGCCAGGCCCGCTCTGCGGCCCCCGACCCGGCCAGCCCAGCAGCTGAGGGCCGCGGCAGCCGTTTGCGACGCCCGATTCAGGAAGTGTGTGACAGAAGGGGAGGCCCAGCCCGGGGCCGCTGGGGCCCGATTCACATGACTGCACCCCACCCCCAGAACCCCTCGCCTTCGGTCTCTTGGAGGCCCCGGAAAAAAGAAAGAGGGAAACCTAGGAGAGCAGAAGGTGTTGGGGTCCGTGTCTTAGTTCCTGATCAGTCCAACCTTCCTCCACCTGCACGCATCTGTTAAGGCCTGGGCAACGCGCTTTTTGGTGTGGGACAGGCAGCTGAGAAGAAAAGGAAAGCTTTAAAATATATAACATATACATAATGTATTATATATGCTTTTTTAACACCTTCACTCTCAAGTCAGAGTAAGTCGCATCTCATGACTTGACGGCTAGAGCATCCCTTTCGGGGTTAGGAAAGCGTGAACGAGTTGTGTGGACTTTTGCCACGTGTGAACCGGGGTTATTTGATAGTAATGCACAGTCGTTCAGTGCCCTGGGTGTGTACTTATGTATCTATATGTTGGGGACGCTGATGTTTTAAATAAGTCAGGTCCAGTGTCACAACTGATAATTTTCAGGTGAGCTCATGTCCATTTGAAGCAGAAGGAAAGTCAGTTATTCTCACTTAAAATGACATCCTAGTATATTTCACAGAAAGTAAACAAACTTCGTAGATATTTTTAATACCTGTAATTTTGGTATTACTTTGAATCTAATAATAAACCTAAAGATTGTTTAGGTGTTGCAACTATTAATATACCAGAGTCTGATTTCAGTGGTTACTCTTGCACAACTTTGGACCCTTTGCACAACTTTGGTAATGTAAGCCTCTGTTTGTAGTTGAACTAATGATGTAGCAGGTCATGTAAGTAACTAAAGAAGTATGTTGGCCAGGCGCGGTGGCTCATGCCTGTGATCCCAGCACTTTCCGAGGCAGAGGCTGGTAGATCACCTGAAGTCAGGAGTTCGAGACCAGCGTGGCCAACATGGTGAAACCCTGTCTCTACCAAAAATACAAAAATTAGCCAGGCGTTGTGGTGGGCGTCTGTAATCCAACCACTTGGGAGGCTGAGGCGGGAGGATCACTTGAGCCCTGGAGGTGGAGGTTGCAGTGACCCGAGATCATGCACTGCACTGCACTCCGCTCCACTCCAGGCTGGGCAACACAGGGAGATTCCGTCTCAAAAAAAAAAAAAAAAAAAAAAAATGTTGATTACTGCCTGAAAGAAAAACTTTCTGCTAGAAACATGAATTTTCAGCAAGGGTTTTTGTTGTGTGTTTATGTATGTAAATTGGATTTATAAACTTTAAAAAAAAAATACTGTGGTGTATTTGGAAGAAGGAAGGAGAATTCTAAAGCCTTCTGGCAAAATTTGATTTAGACTGTAAAAACAAGATTGGAGAGGAATGCCACATTAACTGTAATATGAGTGGGTTTGAGAAATAGAAGCTTGTGGCTGTGGCCATTTGGCTGTCTCATTAGTGGTAAAGATTCAAATCAGACTTTGCTGGCTGCCTTTTTCCAGTTTTTTATTTGAGACTCTACTGTAGGTAAATAAAGTATTGTGCAGGCAGTAGTGGGGCTACAAATCCTAATAAGTTAGCTCTGTTCTCTTGGAATTTGCCCTTATCCAAAAGCAGTCCCCACACAGTTCAAAGAAAGGGAAGACACTCCTTTCTTGTCATTACTGTTGATACCACCTAGTTCAGGAACAGAATTCTTGACACTATTATTGTATGGAGCAATACTGCTCCCCACTTAAGTTCAGCCAGTGTGGTTTACTGTCAATGTAATCTTCCTGAAGCATGAATGTCAAAAAGCTACTCATGTTTGCTCACAATTTTTAGTTTGACCTTGAACGAACTCTATATTTTAGCTCCTATGTACATTTCTAGCCTTCTTTCCCACTATTCCCCACCTTGCTTCAACCAGTGAGACCCAGTGGCTGATTTTTGTGTTTTTTCCTGGACTCTGCTACTCTCTATTCTTAGAGGGTTTTCTGGCACAACCTCTCCCTGTGGAAAATCCATCAGTCCTTCAAAGTGTTACATGAGTTTTCCGTAATGCCTTCACAGTCAACGTATATTAAGCCTTTATCGTGTGAAGATTTTCACAATATCCTGGCTTAAAATGACTACCTCTTTTCTGGATTTATGTTTTTCACTTTGTGTCATCCTTCTGATACTGATCCCAGACTGTTTTGTTCTGTAGATACTTGTGTAGGCTCAATATTATGTAGGCATCTATTATATACTTCTTGAAGGCAGAAAAGATATTTTCTATGGCTTTGTGTTTCTTTCAGGAAGATCCTAGTAAAAGATAGACCTTGTATATTTAATGAAAAAGAGACGAGCCAACAGGCTACTATATTCCTGTTTGTATATATTAATAGCTTAACAGAGGTGTTGGTGGTGTTGGTTGTTGTTGTTTTGCCCAGTTCTGTCCCTCTTTTGCTTATTAACTTGGGCAAAATCCTTGACCATATTTCTTTAATTCAGAGTGTACCCATAGTTGTAAGAGAAACAGTGTAGCCCTAGAAAAGATGACTTTAAAATTAGTAATTTGAGAGCCACCTTGATTTTCTAAAAAGTCAATGTCAGAAACATGCATCATAGACTGAAGGAAATCACCTAATTTTTCTGTTTCTGTTTCCCTAACCTATAATCTTCTCTCATTGTGTGAGATAAAATGAGGATAAATGTGAAAGTACTTTGATTTCTCAAGGGAAAGGAACAATGCACATTTTTCCCTTTCCCAGTTCCCTCTTTAATAGAAGAGGTTTTAATACTGTTGAGCTGTTTTCTTACTGTAAGGCTAAATGCAGTTAAAATATAGCTTTACATTTTTTCCTTGTTCTTGTTTCTGAATCATTTAGTAAAATTTGTCATTTAAATGTAGATGTAAAGTGGAAAGTGGTTTTTAACAAGCAGTAAATTATTATTAAGCAGTTAATTATCAAGCATAGAGGGAGAGAAAAAATACAAACCTATAGTAATTTTTGCTCCTAAAATTCTAGCATCTGTCTACTATTATAACCTTATCACTAACCCTCCCTGCCCCTCAACTCTCAGCCAGGCACACAAAGGCAAAAATTTGGTTGTGTTCTTATTTCTGTTAATATCTGAAGCTCCCCTTCTTGTCCGTTCCCTATCAAAAAAAGTTATGTCAAAAATTTTTGTCACCTGGCCAACTCCTTTTTATCCATTCTTTTAAGATTATAACAAATTCTACCACTCCCTGTTGCATTTAATACAGGTCACCTCCTCTCTTCCCTCATTCTGTTTACCTTCTCTTCAGTCCCAGTCCCACTTACTTTTTATTTTTTATTTATTTTTATTATTATTTTTTTGAGATGGAGTTTTGTTCTTATTGCCCACACTGGCATGCAAGTGGGCATGGTCTCAGCTCACTGCAACCTCCGCCTCCCAGGTTCAAATGATTCTCCTGCCTCCCTCTCAAGGAGCTGGGATTATAGGTGCCTGCCACTACACACGGCTAATTTTTGTATTTTTAGTAGAGACAGAGTTTCAGTATGTTAGCCAGGCTGGTCACGAACTCCTGACCTCAGGTGATCCACCTACCTCAGCCTCCCAAAGTGCTAGGATTACAGGCGTGAGCCACCATGCCCCGCCTACATTTTATTTTTTATTTATTTTTCACTCTTATGTATATACCTGTCACTTACATTTTATTTTACTTTGTATTATTTGTAAAGTAAATAATTTATTATTTATTTATCTATTGAGACATGATCTCTGTCGCCCAGGTAGGAGTGCAGTGGCTCTATCATGGCTCACTCACTACAGCTTCAGACTCCTGAGCCCATGCGACCCTCCCACCTAAGTCTTCCAAGTAATTGGGAACACAGACACATGCCACCATGCCTGGCTAATGGGCTTTCACTGTGTTGCTCAGGCTGGTCCTAAACTCCTGGGCTCAAGCCGTCCTCCCACTTCAGCCTCCCAACTTACCAGATTACAAGCATGAGCTGCTGCTCTCAGCCTCACTTATATTTTAAATAATCTTTTTAGTTAGGAAAGTATTTGGCTTTGTCTTAGATGTAAGGGTACACTATTCAGTATCAGATTTATTTAATAGACAAGTGCATGGATCCTTGAAGGGAGGCGCTAGTAATGTTTGAGCTGAAATTAGAATGATGAGTAGGGACTGCCAGAGTGGGCATGGGGGAATGTCTGGTATGTAGCTGAAAGTTCATATTCCCGGCTCAGGAAAGAGTAATCTGGGGTGGAGATTTGGGAGCTAATAACATAAAATGGAGTCCTTATTATCTGAGAGTTCATTTTCTGAGCTTTCGAAATTACAAGATTATGTAGGGAAGAAAAATCATGACATGAAAATAATTATCACTTTAAAAAGTTAACTTCTCAAACTTTCTTCTAATTCTCATCTTCTTGCTTTGGCATAGGGGCTTGCTGATCATAATATAGTTTGAATTAGTTGCAAAGTAAAATTACATATGATGCCAAAATTGCAAGCATTTGTTTTTGTTTGTTTTTTGAGACAGAGTTTCGCTTGTGTTACTCAAGCTGTAGTGCAGTGGAGTGATCTTGGTTCACTGCAACCTCTACTTCCTGGGTTCAAGTGATTCTCCTGCCTCAGCCTCCCCAGTAGCTAGGATTACAGGCGCCTGCCACCACACCCAGCTATTTTTTGTATTTTTAGCAGAGATGGGGTTTTGCCATGTTGGCCTGACTGGTCTTGAACTCCTGACCTCAGGTGATCCACCTTCCTTGGCCTCCCAAAGTTCTGG